TCAAAAGTGATGATCAAAATTAAAACTATGAATCGGATTATATTTATGACATGCATTATTAATAGCATAAAGAATTTACCAGTAGTCATTAATTTAAGATAGTTTGAAACACGGTTTACTTTTCATATTAAACCCAGGTTACTGGGTTTATTTTATGAAAACCAAACCAGGTTCAAACTCTAATTTAAGAATTAAAGTGGATCGATAAAATGATGTAATAAAGAGAGTCAAATTTGTATTTATAAGCAAGGAAAAAAATAAAGAATTAGTAAGTGCTTTTTTTCAAAAAAAATTCGATAAATCAAATATGATACTTAGCATATATGTATAACAATCTTTGTGATATTTGCTTGTACCACTGCAAAAATAAGTATGCTTAACTATGTCTCCGGGTTGAAAATTAATAAAAATATTGCACTACTGGGCCACCATTAATTAAGCAAAAAATATCTAGTACTATCATTTAATGCTAACCAATATTGACCTGTTACATACCTAGTTATATTGTATGTTATCATATGATTTATTTATTGTCATTCAACAGTTTAGCATCTTGCAAGTTAAGACATCCAAGAAAAATTACAGATCATTAGCATTAATAGGAGTCTTAGCAGTAAGTGCCAACGAAGTTTAAGTCACGTAACCAGTACTCGGTTGAATTTTTAACAGTTCAGTACATTGCTAAGTCATAGTTGCAATCTAGAACTGGTATGACTTTTATTAAGAACCAAAAACTCTTGGACTTTTCCTATATAAATGATATATATTTTTCACAATCAACTTTTTTTTGATTATACGTATCAGTAAAAAACTATTTTACAAAGTATCATTTAATGACAAAAATCGAAAGATTTACATAATTAGTTACAGCAAAAATTATTATAATGGTAAAACTATATATATGTAGCATGATTAATAGCAATGATACTGATTTATATAGCAATTTTCAACAAGTCAGTTTTATTAGCTGAGAAGAGACTATAAACAATAAAAATCTTTGGATTTTATACAATAATTTTACCTAAAATGGTCTTTAGGAAATTGATATGTAGTAGAATAGTGTCTGGTACTATAACAATTGCCACAGTGATGAGTCTCTGTTCTTTGTGTAGAATTTTCTCCACCCGCTTCATTATGTTTTTTTGAACTTTCTTCAATATTCTGTTTTTCATTTAATTGTCCTGCATTTAGGTCTTGAACACTTGGTGTAGGTTTTGGAATCTTTGGACGTCCTTTGTGCTTCAATTTTTTTAGATTTTCAATCCTAGTAACATCAATCGTCATTTGCTTATTAATATCAACACCAGTATTATTTTCAATAAATTTCTCTATTAATTCCACAAATTCATCAACTAATCCATTATCAAGGGCAAATTTTAGCCCGCTCTTAGCCACGCCAAAACCCTATGCATATTCTTGTTTTTGTGTAATGCTAGTATGAATACTAGCTTGATATGCATCAGGCCCACGAATAGAAATTAGTTGATTCATTTGTTCATCTATATCACTAATCATGCCTTCAATTACAGAACAATCTGATGCTTGCATTGGATCAGTGTACCAACGTTTAGATATAAGTTTAACATCAAACTTCACATTGCGAGATATTTTAAAAACACTAAAAAAATGTCTGCAATAAAAACCATTAGAAATAATATATAGACAGGTACAAAGGTGCGTATTGTTATTTAAAAGAATAATATAATGGGGATAGCTATAGTTATGGTGATCAAATAAAGAAACTTTCCAAATTTCAAGAATATTTTTGCAATTAACCATATTTATAAGGTTTTCAAGTGAAGCTTGTAATGCGTCATATTCATCCTCAAGATATCCATCCATATATTCATGAGTATCAAGAAACTAAACAAAAGATGTTAGCTCAATTAAGAACACACTTATTAATAATAAAAATTTGTAAAGCCATACCGAAGTTAATTCAAATAAACATGCGTGATATAGGACGCTTTGTGATATTTAGATATTTTGAATTGAGGCAGATTCTAATGTTAAATAATTTTTTATTGCATTTTGAACTGGTTCAAAAAACATACTTTGAATACTTGAAAGTCCTCGAGTTGGCAATGCATTTTTATATTCTGAAAGTTGCTGGTGTTGTGCTTCACATTCAAGCTTCATTTGAATTGCTTTGCCTAAATTAAGCAGTGTTGTTTTTGCACCAACCTCAGTTTTAATAAGTCCATTTGTGCATTCTACCCATTGCGTGCTTTGCATTCCAGTACAAAAAGTTGCAAAAACATAAATTTTGGCCCATGACTGTCGAGATTTCCAAAGTTGTTTTAAATAACTTTTACTCGCAGAGTACTGAATCAACAATTCTTCCCAACAATGCTCCAATTCTACTTTGCTATGACTGTTACGGCATCGAAACCAACTTTGTAAAAAATCATTATAGGAATTACCAAACTTACGAGACAATTTTTTTGCAATATTTGTTTGAATATGAAATATGCAGTGATTATGTTTGGTGGTGGGAAAGACTTGGCTAATAGCAGAAATCATGGCGGGGTCAGCATCAGTATAAATTACTTTTGGAGCTAAATTATCAGTTGCTTTCAATACACAATCTAATATCCACCCATATGAACTAATAGTCTTATCCTGAACAAGTGACTGTGCTACAAGCCTCGTTTAATGATGATTGTTAACTATTACGAAAAGATTTAATAGCATATTATATGCATTGGTTTTTGCAGTATTGTCATTTACAACTACGTCGTGATATCGCTTCCATAATTCTACTTGCGTTGGTGACATCCAAAAAAGCTGTGAAAGATTGTTATTAACTCCTTCAAATTCAATATAAATTGCCCACCCTGGCTCTTGCTCTTGTTGCTTCATCAGCCACTTAACCATATCTGCTACGTTATTTTCACGTTGATTACGCATTTGACTTTTATATTGACGTATAGCATTATATAGGTCACGATCATACAGAGGTTGATTAGGAAATTTCTTTGAAATATATCTATGTTGGGCTTTTGTTCCAAGATTACATTCCTGAGTCAAAAATTTTATATTATCGAGAACTTCTTGTGAAAATAAACATAGACTTGGAGCAAACTCTTTTTGATATGGTGTGAGAGTATGATTATGTTCTTCTACAAGCTTATTA